ACTACTACTACTACTACTACTACTACTACTACTACTACTACTACTACTACTACTACTACTACGACTGCTACGACGACGACGGCGACGACTACTATCACTACTACTACTACTACTACTACTACTACTACCACTACTACTACTACTATTACTACTACTACTACTGCTACTACTACTACTACTACAACTACTACTACTATTACTACTACTACTATTACTACTACTACTACTACTACTACTACTACTACTACTACTACTACTACTACTACTACTACTACTACTGATACTACTACGACGACGACGACGACGACGACGACGACGACGACGACGACGACGACGACTACTACTACTACTACTGCTACTGCTACTGCTACTACTTCTACTACTACTACTACTACTACTACTACTACTACTACTACTACTAGGCAACGGACCGGCCTCCAGGCCGGGGCCGGTGCGAACGGACCGGCCTCCAGGCCGGGAGTTTCCCGATGGTGTCCTTTAGGGTCGTCCACGGAATATTGTGGCGAAGTTCCTTTTAAAAAACAGAAAGAACATGTGTTTTGCACAGCTTGCCAGCTGTGCAAAGCACATGTGAGCAGCGGGCCCGTCCGGCCTGGAGGCCGGTCCGCCAGCCCCCCGGCCTGGAGGCCGGTCCGCCAGCTCCCCGGCCTGGAGGCCAGTCCGCCAGCCCCCTGGCCTGGAGGCCGGTCCGCTGGCCCTTAGCCTAGTGGGGGAGGACTCACACAACGAAGAGGAAATAAACTGTGGCTGTGCAGTGGTCGTGGTGATGTACAAGTGTGTGTGTGTGTATGTGGTAATGAAGTGGTGTTGTTGATGTACAAGTGCGTGTGTGTACGTGCCAATGACATGGTTGTACGACGTACTCGTGTTTCAAGAGGGCTACTCGACTTGTTCGTGTGTGTTTGTATATGTTGCCGACGAGTGCCATCATCGCATTGAACACCATACTCACCAACAACATCCTAAGTACCATGAGGATGAACATCATCGTCGTAATCATGACCATGATCACCACAGGCGTCATCATCATCAGCATAACTAGCACCATCATCAAGTCATAAACATCATAATCAACAATATCGTCATCATCCCCAGTAAAACAATGTCAACCATCATCATCATCATCATCATCATCTCACATCCTCCTCCCCCTCATCGTTATCCTCTTCCCCCTCATCGTTATCCTCCTCCTAGTCTTCCTCTTCCGACTTCTTCTCCTCCTCCTCTTCCTCCTTCTCCTCCCCACCGCAATTTTCCCCAAGACCGCAATTCTCCCCAAGACTACTGCAAGGAAAAGGCAAGCGAGGACATGGGATATCAGGGGGAAGGGGAGGGGGACGGGGAGGGGGAGGAGTTGAGGGTAAGATCATCATCATCATCATCATCATCATCAGCAGCAGCAGCAGCAGCAGCAGCAGCAAGCACCATCATCATCACCATCACCATCACCATCATCACCATCACCATCACCATCACCATCACCATCATCCTTCTCGTCATCAGCACCACCATCATCATCATCGACATGATTGTCACCATCGCCACCATCGTCGACATGATTGTCACCATCGCCACCATCGTCGACATCATCGTCAGCATCGTCATCATCATCGCCATCACCATCATCACCATCATCATCATCGTCGTCGTCATCATCAGCAACAGCATCTTCATCATCAGCTGGACAGCCTCGCGCGTGGCATCTCCGAAGCCATAGTTCCGATGAGGTCTGAGGCGGCACTGGCCCGACCACCTCGTCGGCAGCATCTCCAAACCTGGAGTTGCAAGGATACATCAAGCAAAACTGGCCAGACAACCTCATGAACGGCATCTCCGAGCCCAGAGTTGCGATGAGGTGTCAGGCAAAAGTGGTCCGACCACCCCGTGCGCGCCATCTCGGAGCACGGATCTGCAAGGATGTTTCAGGCGAAGCTGGCTGGACAATCTCGTGCGCCGCAAATCCGAGCCCAGCGTTGAGAGGATGTCCCAGACCACCTCTTGCGCGGCATCTCTTAGCCCAGAGTTGCAACGGTGCTTCAAGCGAAACTGCCCAGACAACGTTATGCGCGGCTACTCTGAGCCAGGGTTACCAAGATGTCTCATGCGAACTTGGCTGGACAATCTCGCACGCGGCATCTAACATCCCTGAGTTGCAAGGGTGCCTCAAGCGGAATTGGCCGGACCACCTTGTGCGCGGCGTCTCTGACAATAGTTGCGAAGGGTAGCCCAGCAGGGGGAGAAGGACGACCGCGAGGAGGAAGTTGAAGAGCAAGAGAAGTAGGGAGGAGGAGAGGCGCTGACGAAGAAAGCCGGAGGAGGAGCAGAAGAAGCATGAGGAGGGGCGCCGACATGAACGAAGAACCCTGGCCTGGAGGCCGGTCCGCTAGCACCCTGGCCTTGAGGCCGGTCCGCTAGCACCCTGGGTCCGTGGAGCCGGCTGGGGAGAGAGGAACGGCGAAGAACCAGCTGGGGTAGCTCTCGCTGGAGCTGCAGCTGGAGCTTTCTGTCGGGCGCGATAGTGAAGGAACGCAAGCGCGCATGGAACCAAACAGGATCACCCTCTTTAGTTAGAGCTCCCAGTGGGGCACGATCCTCGCCAGGAATGCGCCGCCAAGGCGATGGGTCAGAGCCAGGCCGGTCCGCTGGGCCCCCCCCGGCCTGGAGGCCGGTCCGTAAGGCTTGGGGCCCCCCGGCCTGGAGGCCGGTCCGTGGGGCTCGGGGCCCCCCTGGCTTGGAGGCCAGTCCGTGGGGCTCGGGGCCCCCCGGCCTGGAGGCCGGGAGAAGGAAGAGGAGGAGGACGACGACGAACAGCATCAGCAGAGGATAATAGGGGAGAAGGAGGAGAAGGACGACCAGGAGGAGGAAGTTGAAGAGCAAGAGAAGAAGGGAGGAGGGGAGGCGCTGAAGAAGAGAGCGGGAGGAGGAGGAGCAGAAGAAGTATGAGGAGGGGCGCCGACGTGAACGAAGAACCCTGGCCTGGAGGCCGGTCCGCTATAGCACCCTGGCCTGGAGGCCGGTCCGCTAGCACCCTGGGTCCGTGGAGCCGGCTGGGAGAGAGAGGAACGGCGAAGAACCAGCTGGGGTTGCTCTCGCTGGAGCTGCAGCTGGAGCTCTACTACTACTACTACTACTACTACTACTACTACTACTACTACTACTACTACTACTACTACTACTTCTACTGCTGCTGTTACTACTACTACTACTACTACTACTACTACTACTACTACTACTACTACTACTACTACTACGACCACCGCTACTACTGCTATTACTTCTACTACTATTTCTTCTTCTACCACTGCTACTACTGCTACTGCTGCGACTACCACCGCTACTACTACTTCTACTACTACTAGGACTACTATTACTACTACTACTACTACTACTACTACTACTACTACTCCTACTACTACTACTACTACTCCTACTACTACTACTACTGCTACTACTACTACTGCTACTAGTATCACTACTACTACCACTACTACCACTACTACCACTACTACTACTACTACTACTACTACTACTACTACTACTACTACTACCACTACTACTACTACTACTACTACTACTACTACTACTACTACTACTACTACTACGACTACTACGACGACTACGACGACTACTACTACTACTACTGCTACTACTACTACTACTACTACTACTACTACTACTACTACTACTACTACTACTTGTATCAATTGTACTACTCGTGCTACTACTACTACTACTACTACTACTACTACCAATAATGATAATCATAATAATGATAATCATAATAATACGAACGATGCAACCACTCATGATATCATGAGTACTTTTCCCAACGCGAATTGTTTGACTATGCACAGATCAATAACAGTATCCACCCTATCAGTATTGATATCCGTATTTTTTTCGGGAATACTAGCGCTAGCAATCTTACGGTTGATTAAAATAAGAGTAATAATAATGTTGATACTGATGCTGATGATGATGGTGATGATGACGACGCTCTCATCCCAGGCAGCGCTGATTCCACCACGGGGGCCAGCAGCGACGTCAGCACCTGCGCTAGCAGTTACTCCAGCACCGTCGGCAGTATTCACCCTAGCCGCGAAGACAACATCGACGACAGCACCGACACCAGCAACATCCCCAACAACGCAAACACTAACGCTAACATCGACCCCAGCATCGACGCCAGCACCGAAGACAGCATCGACTCCAGCACGGGAGCTTGCGTTGTCGTCTGCATCGACGCCAGCGTCGACCCCAGCATCGACCCCAGCACCGACGCCGGATGACCACCAGGGGGATGAAGGTCACAGCCGAGTAGGAAGGCGCGGACGCGATCGAGGAAGAGGATCAGCGCCACCGGCACCATGGGCAGCGCCAGCACCCCACATAGTATCGACGCCAGCACCATCATCGACCCCAACTCTGGCGCCGCTGACCTCGCCTTCATCGATCTCAGCATGAACGCGAGCAGCGGGGAGCACGGACCCCAGTACCGAAGCCCGCATCGACTACAGAGTCGGTGCCAGCGCCGACTCCAGCATTGAAGACACTGTGTACTTCATCACCGAAGGCTTCACCAAAGCCAGTACTGACACCAGCACTGACTCCAGCATCGACGCCAGCAGCGACCCCAGTGTCGACGCCTGCACCGACTCCAGCACCGACGGGTGCCGATGCCGAGGCCAGCCCCGTGAAGAGCCCGGCCAATGACCCTCGCATTGCGGATGCTAGTGTGAGACTTCTTCAGCATTCATGATCCTGAAGCTTGAAATCTGCGACCGTTTCTCGGACTGATGGCGGGCCGCTTTCAGAATGTGGTTCTCGCCTCAGCGCCTCGCGGGTTTTTTTCAAATTAGTTGCAGGAGCTTCAGGAATGGAGGACAGGCGTCCGAAAGCGTGATTCTCGCCTTAGCGCCATGCGCATGCATTTTAGAAATTTGCAGGGACTTCACGGATGGATGGCTCTTTCTTTCCAATCTGTGGTTTTCGCCTTAGCGCCGCGCACTTTCGTTTGAAAAAGGCTTGCATGAGTTTCACGGATGGATGCCGGCTCCTTTTCAAAATGTGATTGCCCATTAGAGCCGCGCACATCCGTCTTGGAGAGTTTCCAGCAGTTTCATGGATTTCGATGACTGGAGTCCCAGAAATTGTTTTGGCACGATGTATGGTTGCCAGGATGCACCATTCACGTTGATTCACGGTATAGAAGTCCCAAAAGTGGTGTCTTGGCACGATGCAACAGTAACGTTGATTCGCGGCGCGTCGAAGTCCCAGGAGTGGTGTTTCGGACCGGTTCAGGGTTTTCAGGCGGATGTCTTCCAACGGCGCATTTCCCCCAGTGAAGTTAAAATCCTTGTACGGGGCGTGTGGCGTGGGCGCTTGGAGGGAGGGTTGGTGGGTCTTGGGCTCGCACTGGTCGTCCTCCTCCTCCTCCTCCCTCCCAACTTCCCTCTCCCACCTCCCGCCGTGCGCGGCGGCGATCGCCGAAAGTCAGGGGAGCTCCTCGCCCCCGGGGCAAGTGTAAGGGGCCTCAGGCTGCTGCGTCCCCATCGAGAAGAATAGAAAAACAAAACACCCACCTCCCGCTCGGGCGCCGTGCGCCCGCCCGTCGCCCCCGCCCCCCCTCGCCGACCCGGCCCGAGGGCCGCGCGGGCGATCGCGGCGCGGGCGGCGAGGCGGCGGAGCCTGGGCTTCGCGGGGCCGCCGGAGCCCCAGCGTTTCCGCGGCCGGGCGTGGGGCCTGCAGCTGCTGCTGCTGCTGCTGCTGCTGCTCCTCCTCCTCCTCCTCCTGCTTCTCCTCCTCCTCCTCCTCCTCCTCCTCCTCCTCCTCTTCCCCCTCCTCCTCCTTCTCCTCCTCCTCCTCCTCTTCCTCCTCCTCCTCCTCCTCGTCCTCCTCCCTGCGGAGGCTGCCGGGAGGGTTCGTTTGACAAGGTTGGTGTTGGACCTGAGTCCCTCCAAGCCCGACCGAGGCGCCCCACAGCCGTCGAAATCATGTTTCTTGAGCCAGACTTTCTTGCCGTGCCCTGTCCCTCTCCGAAGGGGCCTCCGGAAATCGCCTGTCCGCTGCTTGGTCGACAACGAAGCGATGCACTGTCCTGGCGAGGCCGGGAGCCCTCCAAGCCTGCACCACGTGCGTTTGGTCCACCCGGCCAGATGTGGTGCCGCGGCTGGTTATTTGCGCACAAGGTCATTACTCGCATACCTGATGCGGATTATGCTGCTGCTCCTCCTCCTCATCCTCCGCCTCCTCCTCCTCCGCCTCACTCGCCTCCTCCACCTTGTTCGCCTCCTTCTCCTCCTCTTCCTCCTCCTCCTCATCCCGTGGAGCCTCAGGAGACTGCTGCTTCTGCTTCGCCTCCCTTGTATGCTCCTCCTCATCCTCCTTCTTCCCAGGGGACTCCAGGGACTCCTCATCCTCCTTCTCCTCGTCCTAGTCCTCCTCCTCCTCCTCCTCCTCCTCCTCCTCCTCCTTGCAAGTCCTCTCGTGGAAGGAGGGGCCCAGGTTATCAGCTGCCAATTTGGGAGTGGCATTGCAGTTGATGAGCCATCCAGAGTGGTGGGTCCCTGTGTCCGCAGCAGCAACGCTGGGACTAGGCCCCGCCGAGGCACGCGCGCGCGATGACGTCCTCGTTCCTCCCCCGTCTTTCTTTCCCCCTCATTCGCCTCGCCATCAAGGACGCGCGGTGCGGATCACCCTCCAGGCTGAGGTCAAGTCACCAAATGGTCTCAGAATGCCGATTCGGCTCGCCTAAGACCTGAACGGCAAGCGCGCAAGAAATGGAGCGGAACCCAACGTCAGCAGCTACAACAGCGGCATCCAGGCGAAGCTTGAGCTCGATGCCAGCAGCGGCAGCGCTGGGATCGGGTAGAGCGCCGGCAAGGCACCCAGCTCCGAACAGCGGGAGGCGAGGTCCGAGCCCGATGTCATCAGCTACGGCGCTGGCGACTGCGAAGGACAAGTGGCGACGACCAAGGACGAGGCCGACGTCATCAGCTACAATGCGACAGTGACTAGCAGCGGGCACGAAGGTGACGGGACGGCGAAGGACGAGCCCAACGTCGGCAGCTACCACGCGACAACGACAAACAGTCACTGTCAGCGTGGGCGAGAGACGGCGAAGGACGGGCCCAACGTCATCAGTTACAGCCTTGGGATCAGGGCACACCCAACGGCGGCCTCGCGTCACATGAGGAAAGGCAATCAGGGACAGCAGGCCCTGCCACCACTGGACGAGAAGGCGAGTGCGAAGCGAACGCCCGACGTTCTCACTCACAATCTTGGGATCAGTACGAGCGAGAAGGCCGCTATCCCATCCTGCGAGAAGAGCGGGGCGACACGTGAGCCTGACTTATTCATTCATGGCGTTGGGAACAACGTGTGCGAGAAGTGGGAGGCGAAACTTGAACCTCAGGTCGTAGTCTATTTCGCCGTGCAAAACCTGTGTGATAAGGGCGGGCAGTGTCAGCAGGCTCTTGCGCTACTCAATGAAAGGTGGAAGGCGAAACAAAAGGCCGACGCCATCAGCTACAGTGCTCAGCTGGAGTCCGGACGGGACGGCGGCAACGCTGGGCAAAGCGCGTGCGAGACAGGTGAGCAGTGTAAGTAGGCTCTGCCGCTACTCAAAAATAGCATGAAGGCGAATATGGAGCCCGATAGCATCAGCGATCCACCGCAACACTGCGAGACGTGCGAGGCGAAGCTGGAGCCCGAGCTGGTCGGTAACAGTGCTGGGAACAGCGTGTGCGACACGGCCGAGCTAGGGCTGCAGGCTCGGCGTAATCGGGCAAAGAGGCAGGCGGGTCGGACGCCATCCTGCGAGAAGTGGGAGGTGAAGTTAGAGCCCGGTGTCATATACAGCTACGCTGGGTCGCAGGGGGTCGTACGTGCTCTCCACCGCATGCCAGATATCAGCTCGTGCGAGAAGACTTTGGGGATCCTGGGGCAGGGAAGGATCTCAGCTACAGTGCGGGGATCGAGTCGTGCGAGAACCAAGACAATGGCAGCAGACTATGTTGCCGCCGGGGTCCGACGAGCCATTCTAGGCTGCAGTGCCAAAATCAGCTCGTGGGAGAATTTGTGTGAGAAGTGCAAGAGCGCTGTTTCCTGTTTTGATCTGCCCTTCCCCCAATAGCGCCCAGGATAGGCCTGGGGTAAAGGAAGTGACCTCCACTCGGGTAGGTTGGGTCCCTGCGGCGGTCCATCTGCTTCGCGCTGCGCTAATCCTCGCTAAGCCTCCTCCTCCTCCTCCCCCTCCTCCTCCTCCTCCTCCTTCTCCACCTCCTCTCCTCCTCCTCCTCCTCCTCTTCCTCCTCCTCCTCCTCCTCCTCCTCCTCCTCCTCCTCCTCCTCCTCCTCCTCCTCCTCCTCCTCCTCCTCCTCCTCCTCCCCCCCCTCCACCTCGCACTCCTCCATCGGAGGGGCCGAGGCTGGGGGCGGGGCCGTCGTCCCATGGGACCGTCGGGGTGAAGAATGGCGGGGTGGACAGAGGCGCCTCTCGCCGTGAGCGAGCCAGAACGCCACCTGGCCTGGCATCGCTCGGACGTGTGCATGTTCCTCGGCGGGGACCATCGCGGAGCATCCTGGATCCTCCTGCGCACAGATAGGACGCACGAAACCGAGCAAGTGCATAAAGGAATGGACGTCCGAGCGATTGCAAGGCCGTGCTTTCTGTTCTGTTTGTGACAGGCTGGGCACCTGGCGGCGGCGGGTTCAGGCCCCGGCGGGGGGCTCCCGGGTCGACCGTTCGGGGGACCTGCGGAGGCCGCCCCGCAGGCCATCTGCCGGCCTTCGTGCTGGGATTCGGGGCGAGTGGAGGCTCACGATCGGCGGTCGGGGAGAGACGGACGTTCCGCGCGGCCTCATCCGCGTCCTTCTCCATCTTACCTTCTCCTCTTCTTCTTCTTCTTCTCCTCCTCCTCCTCCTCTTCCCTTTTCTTCTTCGCCCCTCTCATCGGCACTTTCTCGAGACCGCAGGAAAGCATCCGAAATCTCCGGAAGATCTCCGAGCACCATCCCCCCCAAATGTGCGAGGGCGCCCGCAGAAGCATCAGAAGACCGTCCGAAGCCGTTGTGCCGTCCCAACGTCGGCGTTCTCCGCAGCGGCGTCGTGGAGACCCCGGGTCACCGCCTCTCAGTCAGTACCGCTGCTGTCTTCCTTGCCGTCTTCGGCAACGAGGTACGAGGGACGAGGAGGGGATAATAAGAGGGACGTGGGGAAAGTGAGAGGGGAGGGAGGGAGGGAGGGAGCGAGGGTTGGGATAGAAGGGGATAAGGGTGAGGATGAGAGAGGGAGGGTGCGGAGGGAGGAGAACGTGGAGGGAAGAGAATGAGGAGGTATTAGGACCCCGAGGGGAAGGACGGAGGATGCGAGATGGAGGAGGAGCAGGCGGAGGAGGAGAAGGAAGGTTGAAGGCGGAACGAGGAAGGGGGAAGGGGGAAGGAGGAAGTAAGAATGGAAAGAAAGCAGGTTGTCGTTGTCGTCGTCGTCGGCCGCGGCGGCGTCGTCGTCGTCGGCGGCGGCGTCGGCGTCGGCGTCGGCGTCGGCGTCGTCGGCGTCGTCGTAGTCGTCGTCCTTGCCCTCCTCCTCTCCTCACCCCATCTATGCTCTCATACCCCTCGTTCCATCCTTTCCGCCTCTTCCCTGCCTTCCCCCTCCTCCTCCTCCATCCGCCCTCCCCCTCCTCCTCCTGGCCACGCTGCGGCTCCTAGTCGAGTCGGGCATGTAGGGTTTTCCTGCCGAGGTCAGAGAGGTCCTGGGCCAGTGCCCCTCCGGGAGCGTCGTTGCCATCCTGCACGAGACGGAGGCGGTGCCGCTGCGGATCTTCGAGAGCGGGTTGGCGCCCGCAGGGAGTGCTGCGCGGGGGCGGGCGGCCCAAGCCACAGCGATTGTGGGGTGAAGGGGGGGGGGCGGGGGAGAGGGGCAGACCCAGGTGAGAGAGCGCGCCGAGTTCGGTGACTGGACGCAAACGGACGGGGAAGGGGAGGAGGACGTGGTGGAGGAGGAGGAGGAGGAGGAGGAGGAGAAGGAGGACAGGGAGGAGGAGGACAGGGATGACAGGGAGGAGGAGGAGGAGAAAAGCCCCGCCGCTCTCCTTCTCCGGCCAGGAGGTCAGGGTGGGGGGGCCGAGCGGTCATTCCAGGACGGGCTCGGACGGGGATCGATCCGTCCCAGCGCGTTCCAGAACGCCGCTCTCAGAGCGTTCTGGAACGCTTTGAGAAGGCCGCGTCGCTCAAGGCATCCTCTAGATCCGCCGGGTCTCAGAGATGCTCGATTGATCCGTACCCGATGTTATCCCCGTCCCAGCTTCGTCTTATCAGAGTGAGGGTGCCGAACGATCACTCGCTGTCCTTGGGTGCGTGGCTGAGGTGGGGCTCCGCGGTGTGGATTGTTGTTGCGTTGTTGCTGTCGTCCTCGCCCGCGACCGCCCGCGACCCCCCCCCCCCCCGCGACCCTCCCCGCGAGCCCCCCGCCACCCCCCCGCGACCCCCCGGCGACCCACGCGCGACCCGCGACCCACCCGCGCCCGCCCCCTCACTCTTCTCCGCAATTGCGGGATTCTACGTGCACAACCTTTGCGGTGGCCGCAGCGGGCTCCCTGTGCCACGAAAAGCAGCCCAGGTGGCCAGCCGTGGCGCCCCAGATTTCCAGGTCTCTTCGATGGGGTCGGAGGACCGCGCCGCATCGACGATGCAACGCCGATGCGGCTTGCTGTGGAGCCCGATTTTCTCCGCGCTGGCGTCGCCGAGTTTCCGCCGCCGTCGGCAATGCCTCGGCGATGAGGTGCGATCTTCCGACCCTATCTGCTCGGATCCCATCCAGGAGGTCTCTAGAACGTTCCGGAAAGGGCTGCGCCGGCACGTGCTGAGAAGATGCGTGTGGAACAACACGCTGAGGCCTGCGTGCTTTTTCCATCCACTCGGATACCATCTACAACCCTCGTCAAAGTTAACCTCAACAGTCAACAATGCCTTACGTGGCTGAACTGTTTGTGGGGAGATACTGGACAGAGCAGCGGTGACTGCGAGGCGCTTGTGTGCGCGCCGCCCCTCCAATGTCGGCCATCCTCGACCTTCCGAGTCGCTCCCGGTGAGACCACTCTCCTGCCCTCCTCCTCCTCCTCTTCCTCCTCCTCCTCCTCCTCCTCCTCCTCCTCCTCCCGGCCCCGACATGGGAGGGGCCTCTCTATCGACATTGCAGGGCGCGCCGACACCGCAGGGGCGCGGTCGCCGTTCCTGAGGTTACCTCTGACGAGGGCAGCAGGAGGGCTCCAGGAGTGCTGCGGCCCGGCCGGCGCGGCCCGCGCCCCCCGCCCCTCTCTCCGAGGAGGGCCCCGCCGGCGGCCGTCTTCGTCCTGGGGGCCGTGCGGGACGCCGGGGGGCCTGCAACTCTTCGGCAACGCGCAGAGGGGGGTAGGGGGAGGGGGGAAGGCTTCTTAGAAGCACCGCTGCTTCTTAGAAGGCGCGGGCCTTCTCTATAGACGTAAGGCCGAGGCCTTCTAAGAAGCAGGGTGCTTCTAAGAAGCCTTCCCCCCTCCCCCTACCCCCTTTTGCGCGCCGCCAAACTCTGCCGTGCACCGCGCGGAGGGTCCTGCTCCTGCTCCCGGACGAGCCCCCGGCCTGAAGTCGGGCCTGGCCCTCTACAGAAAGAATTTAGAAAATAGTCTGGGGACTATTCTGTACGTATTTTTTGACCATGTTGGAGCATTTTTTGGGGTATTTTTAATTTTTCGTCGAAAATCCCCCTGTAGGGGGACGCGCCCGACTTAACTCGGGGGCGGGACAGAGGGGGGTGATGACTAGGGGGGGATGGATCTCATGGCGGGGGCCATGATATCTCCCCAGATTTCATGGCGCCTCTTCTTGTTTCATTACGTCCCTGGCCCCCCCGCTGGGCCGCGCACACGCCGCCGCTCATGATTTGCACCCCCCCCCTCTCGGACACCCCCCTCTTGGCCGCTCCCGATTAACCCTGGCCCGAGGTCCGGGGCTCAAGAGACGGGGTCGATGCCAACGGGGGTCAGCCAGGGCACCGGGCCCTGCAGGATCCTGCGAAGATCCTTTCTGGCTGACCCGGGTTACAGCGAGCCGCTCGTGGCCGCGGGGCGGCCGCGCATGGTTGGCTGACTCGGGTTTGCGCAGCCCTGCGTTGCAGTTTGCTTGTTTTCTTTCTGCGCCGCAGTTTTTTGGTTTCCTGCTGACCCGGGCCTGATCGACGCGGGCCAGCAGGCCCCCGAAAGGTGCCCCCATGATTTCGGCCCATGCTGCAGCCCTTGGGGACCCCCTCTGGTTCGCATGCACCTCCCAGGAGTTGGGCGCCCGATTGATCCGGGGTAACTCGGGTCCGGGGTAACTCGGGTTTGGATTCCCGTACGTAAAACGAACCCGAGCTAGCCCTGACCCGAGTTACCCCTGATGATTTTGGGGCTCTGGACGCCCGAATTATCCGGGGTAACTCGGGTCCGGGGTAACTCGGGTTCGGAATCCCGAAAAACGAACCCGAGTTAGCCCTGACCCGAGTTATCCCTGATGATTCGGGGCTCTGAGGGAGGTCATCTTCTGACTCTGCCCGGGTCCGACGTCCGGCAGGATCCGGTGGAGTCCCGCCGAATCTGGCCGAGTGCCGCGCACAGTCCGGCTTCATCCCGCTCGATCCGCGACCGAAGCCGGCGTAGCAGCCCCCGAGTAGGGCTTGCTCTTTAAGTCGGGCCTGTCCCTCTACAGGAGGAGTGTTCAAAAACAGTCCAAAAATAATGTGGGGACGATTTTTTTTTCTAAACAATTTTTTGGCCATTATTGGGCATGTTATGGTTAATTGTTTTCGTCCAGAATCCCTCTGTAGGAGGACATGCCCGACCTAAGCCTACTCCTCCCTGGTCCTTCCGACGCAGACCTCCCGGCAGTGGCCTCCTAGCTCTGGGCCTCGTAAGGAAGGGGTGCTCTGGAGGCCGTGGTGCCTCCCTGGAAATCTTGGGGGCGTCTTGGGCCAGGGGCCCTTCTATTAGATCGAGTCTTCCTCGACTAAAGTCAGGAGGGGAAAACAGACACAGACGCAATGAATCGTCGATTCTCCTGAAAATCTGGGAAAGTATGGGAGGTGGGGGGGAAGATAAAAACCGAGAGAATATTGGAAAATTCAGGGAATACTGTTATTTGTGTCTATTTATTTGAGTGTCCCACGGCCCCTTCGTAAAGGTTCTTTCAGGATCCTCGCCGAAATCTCGCGAAAGTCTTCCCTGGAATCTCCGGCAGCAGTGCTGGGGCCCCCCCTCAGATCTCTGGCAGCGGGCCCCCCGGCTCGGGAGGACCGGGCGTCACCAGAAGGACCCTCTAGCGACACCCGCTCTTCCCGAGCCACCCCGACCCAACCCGGAGGCCCTGGACCGCCCCAAGTTTCTGGATGTGGGGTGTGCGGGTTCCATCGTGTGTGTTGCCTCCATGTTCTGGAGCGCTCGCGCCCCCCCCCGCCCCAGGAATCGACGACGACGAGCCCAGCGATGCCTTCGGGTTGGGTTTTGGTGGTTTGGTAGGTGTTTACCTCCTGCCTGCCTCGTGGGCAGGGCGCGGCGCGATGGGTGCGCCGAGTGCGCGGCGCGCCCAGGCGAGGCCAGACCTTGGCGCCGTTCCCGGTTCGTGAGGGCGGTGGGGCCCGATCCCGACCACTCCGCAGACGGCCGTCTGCGGGTCCCTGGCTTGGCTGTTGGCTGCTGCTCACGCGTGTGTTTGCTATAAGGTGTTTTGCGTTGTTTACTGCTCGGCTTTTATCTTACGTTTCTCTCTCTCTCTCTCTCTCTCAGATGTTATGTATTTTATATTCATCAGAGTGCCTGTATACATGTACATTTATGTGTATCTGCATGTGCATATGTATAGGTGTACGACTATGTATATGTATATGTGCATGTAGGATGTAGGTGTATTCTCGTTTGAACATGTACATGTTGTGCACATACATATACACATGCATACGTATATACATATGCACATGTATATGTGAATGTTTATGTAGATGTATGCGTATTTGTAGATGCCGATATGCATGTGTATGTTCATGCACATGTATATGCATATGTGCATATGCGTCGTTGTATGCACATGTATTGACAACTGCACATCTACACGCACACAGCTACATATATGCATGGATGCAGATGTATTTGTATAGGCATATGCACATGCATAAAGTTATGCGTACGGTTCGGTTTCTGTGAAAGAGCGTGTTCTACCGCTGCTGGCGGAAAACCGGCGGGGGTCACTACCGGTTCGAACCCTTCCCCCCCCCCCCTCCGGAAAACCGGGGGGGTCACTACCAGTTCGAACCCCTCCCCCCCCAGTTCATCATGAAAAGGGGGGGGGTCACTACCAGTTCGAACCCCCCCCCCCCTCGAACTCGAAAACCGGGGGGGGTCACTACCGATTCGAACCCCCCCCCGCGAAAACCGAGGGGGGGTGCGGACAGTGGTGGGGACGGTGGTGGTGGGGACAGTGGTGAAGGGACAGCGGGACAGTGGTGGGGACAGTGGGACAGTGGTGGGGACGGTAGTGGGTGGGGACAATGGTGAGGACAATGGGGAACAGTGGGGACAGTGGTGGGGACGGTGGTGGTGGGGCCAGTGGTGTGGGGACAGTGGGAATGTGGCGGAAACAGTAGGACAGTGGAGGGTACAGTGGTGGTGGGGACAGTGGTGAAGGCGGTGGCGAGGACGGCGGTGGGACAATGGGACAGAGGTACAGTGGGGACAGTGGTGGGGACAGTGGGGACAGTGGTGGGAACAGCGGGACAGCTCAGTGGGACAGCGGAGGAGTCAGTGGGACAGTGGGGACAGTGGGGATAGTCGGGCAGTGGTTGGGGCCGTGGAGAAAGTTGGGAGAGTGGAACCGTGGTGGGAACAATGGTGGGGACAGTGGGGACAGTGCGACAGTGGTGGTGGCACTGGTGGGGACAGTAGGGGCGGTGGTGGAACCAGTGGGGACTGGTGGTGAGGACAGTGGTGTTGGGAACAACAGTGGGGGATGGATGTGGTGAGGACGGTGGTAGGGACCGGGAGACGTTTGCTGGCGGTGAGATGGGGGGGGTGGGGAGGGGTTCGAACCGGTAGTGACCCCCCCCTCCGGTTTTCGAGGGGGGGGGGGGGTTTCGAACCGGAAGTGACCCCCCCCGGGGTTTTCCAGAGTGGGGGGGAGGGTTCGAACCGGTAGTGACCCCCCCCGGTTTTCCGCCAGCAGCGGTAGAACCTCCGGTTTTCGAGGGGGGGGGGGTCGAACCACCGGTAGTGACCCCCCCGGTTTTCCAAAGGGGGGGGGGTGAAGGGTTAGGGGAGGAGGGGGGTTTTGCCGGGGGAGAGGGGGGGGGTCCAGCAGGGGGGGGGGGGGGATTTTCGGAGGTGGGGGGACCCCCGGGTTCCGGAGGAAAAGGGCGGCAATTTTCCACAGTTAAGCGGCGGCGGATCACGCTCTCTCGTTTCTGTACATTGCTATGCATTTGTATAGGTGTACGTATATGGATATGTCTACGTATATGTATATGACTGTGTATATGCATATGTATACGTGGATGTAGATGTACATGTGCATGTATATGCACATGTACATGCTTATGTATATGTATGTGTTTATGTATGTGAGTGTGTATATGTAAATGGCTAAGTGAACGTGTGTGCATTCATAAGTGTATATAGAAGTGGATGTATATATCTATGTCTATGTATATGTAATGCGATGTGTAAACGTACACGTATATGTATATGTATGTTTGTGTATGCATGTCTATATTTCTAGACTCAGGGGGGCGTTGTCTCCTGGCCGGGCCCAGGGACCACGGGGGGGCATGGGGGGACAGGGCCTTCAGGAACGCCCACAGACGGCCCAAGGCAGTCCCGAAACGTCCTGAAAGGACGCCAAGAGGCCCCCACGACGGTCCAATGGAGCCCAGAGTCAACGAAACACCGCCACAAAACGCCCGAGATGGCTCCGAAGCTGTCGACTAACGCTTCAAGAGGTCTCCAACAGGCCTACCGACATGCCCCCAAGAGGGCGCAATCTTCAACTTCCCTGTGATTCAAGCGTACATGTTTTGGTAAACATTTGTTTCATTTATCCGACGCTCCCAACCAGCCCAAGAAGCTTCGAAGACCATCTTAACGCAGCCAGTGAGGGCAGGCCCCAAGACAGCACAAAAGGGCCCAAGACGGCCTGAGGGGTAACACGAAACGAACATCCGAGCCTTCCAGCCAGAGAGGCTCTCAGGAGGCCCCAAGATACCCCCAAGAGGTCCCAAGAGGTTCCAAAGAAGCTCCACAGAGGGCCCAATAGGCTCCAAGAGGCCTCCCACGAAGGCGCCGAGAGGCACACATCGTTATCTTCCCATTGC